CTGACATCAGAGATGTCCCCCACACCCTAACTTGAAGTTTCACAGAGGCCTAGGACCCTCTGATTACTCTCCTTTTCCTCTCTGAGCCTCCCATTTTCTCCTCTGAAGTGGGAGCAATCTGTCCCCGGAGTGGAGCGAGTTCTGTTGTGGTGGTTAAATCAGGATGTCTGAGGAGTCCCTGGCAGGATGCCTGGTGACTCCCTGGTGCCGCTGATAATCGCCCCAGTTCCGTCCTTCTCTCTGCTTTAGACATTGATGAGCACCTTCTGCCTTTAGGGCCACTGTAGGGTGTAGCGCAGCTCAGTCATGCGAGAGTCCTGTCTTCACTAGGAGGCTTGAAGAAAATGACTGCAGGAAGAATCAGTGCCTGAGGTCACCCAAAGGCCAGGCTTCTGTGGTCAGCCCATCACTCTTGACAGGAGTCTGCAGGATAGAGGGGTTAGGGGTAAAATATCAGGAAGGAGGCCAGAGAACTCGGCTCTAGCCCTGGCTTCACCTGTGCTCCTTGCCTGTTACATAAGGATGTTAACAATCTGCAGTTCCTTGGGCTGCTTTCCTCTTTAATGCCCAGAACTTTGTTCAAAAAGCAAAGGAGAGATGTCATGGATCTGGTGAACCCTGCTGCACCCCTCCCCGCCCTCCTTACGCCTGCACCAAACACTTAGAAAGCCTCCTTGCATCCCATGCTCAGACACTTTGAAAGTCAGGCAGGAAGCTGTGAGAGGAGGACAAGATGGAGTGACGTTCAGATCCTGCCAGCTTGGGACCTCCCACCACAGGCCACACCTCCCTCTGAGGGCGGGGCCTCCTGCCTCCCTCTGCTAATATTGACTCAGCCTGCTGCAGGCAAGCCCAGCAGTGGAGCAGTGCTGGGGAAGGGTACATGGGCGGGGGCCGAAGGTCAAGTGTCCGGCAAGTTATGCACTGTGGCCATCTCATCCTGATGTGTGGGAACCAACACCTCGCCAGTGGGTTGGCGTGGGGGCACTCAGTGGGCTTTGGATCCCCAGGACTCTCAGAATTGGGAGAAAAGGGCATCTGGAGCATGAGGGAGCCTGTATGCTGCATATGGAGCCTGAGCCCAGGGCTTTACTCAGCAAAGCTTGTGGGCATTCCGAGGAGAGTTGAGATTTGAACTTGGTCTGACTGACTTCTCCACTGCTGCTCTGAGTTTAAAATGGAGGACTTGTGGAGAGGAATGCATTACCCTGTTCCACAGTCCTCTCACTCTCGCTCTAAAACAGAGTCTCTATGTATTGTCAGGTGGGCCTGAACTTGCAGTGATGCTCCTGCCTCAGCCTCCTGAGTACTGGAATTATAGGCAGGTGCCACCATGCCCAGCTTTTCTGTTTCGTTTTGTTTTTAAACAATTGTTTGGTGCTAATCCCTACCTGGGCACGCTAGTTACAAGGATAAAAAGACCCAGGTTCTAATTTTAGGAGTTTTCAGGGTGGAGACCACAGAGGACATAGCAGGAGCAAAGACCTGGAAAAGCCTGGGGTACTGTAGAAAGTTGTCCCAACCCTGACAGGTTCTACATTGCTCACCCCACTTTGTCTGAGTCACCGTCAGTGCATCACGACACCTAAGTAAACACAGGTTGAGTGAATGGACTTGGTTAGCTTCCTTGCTGTGCTTCAGCTTTAGCCACAGGTAGACAGGCAGATGAGCTCTGGTGGTCTGTCTGCCCTTCCTTGGTTTGGCAATCACTTGTCAAGGTAACTGCCTGGTGCCCTGATACAGAATTTGACAGCAGCTCTCTAAGGAAGAAGCATTGTCCCCATTTCTCAGGTGAGGAAACTGAGGCCCAGAGGCAGAGTGTACCATGCTTCCCAACTCCAAGGTGGAAGGAAGCCACTCACTGCATTTCAGCTGCAGTCCCAATTCCAAGCCCATCAATCATCAAGCTGATGTCTTGGTTGCAGGAGGCAACATAGGTCGGCTCTCAGTGCCTTGGGCCTACAAGAGGGCCCGGACTTGTACTGAGCTTACACTGAGCCTTCTGAGCACCCTGGTTCTTCATCTGGTGATAGTAGACTGTTTCTTTCCCCTGGACACACTATTCTGACACCTGGAATGTAGTCTTAGCACTGTGTTCCCACTTGGCGGTTTCCTGCTGCCCTTCACAATCCAAATCTAGTGTTCCCTCCTGGGAACTCATCTTTGATTGTCTGCAGGCAAAATTAAAAATCTTTTTCTCTAAGGCTTGCTCAGTTCCTCATTCCATCTGCTTTGAAGCCCAGACTATGTCAGTTTCATGTTGTCTTTGAGTGCCTCCCCCTGGGTGCCCTGGTGACCCACCAGCCCTCCCCACTGTGTCAGGACTTGGGTGTGTTTGGTTGCAGGCCCTGGAGCATGGGTCCCTGAGTGTTTTGTGAGTTCTAAGGCAGCACTCTACCTAGAACCCAAGGCATCGCGGGCAGGTCTTCTGAAGCGAGTTTGACCTTGGCCTGCCCATGGCAAAGTCTTGCAGAAGGGTTTACCCTTGACTGCCAGCAGCCCCCACTGCCAGTTAAGCAGCTGCTTAGTTGGGCCCTGAGGATTCAGAGGTCCAAGAACTTTCAGAATATCAGAGCTAGACTCATTGGTGTTTCGTGGTTGTTTTTGGGCTAATGGGTACTGGGAATGAGACTGATGACCTTGAGCTTGCCAGGCAGCTGCTTATGCCACTGAGCCAGACTTCTGAAACAGGGCCTGGAGCATTGCAGTGGGCCTCGGGCATCCTCTGCTACAGCAAATCCTGAGCCAGCATACTTTCTCATTTAGAGTTTTACTTAAATTGCTTTGTTCTAAGTAATATGAAGCCCCAGGGCTTGGGAAAAATATATTTTGAATAGTTACCATTCACACGGTTCAGAATTCAAAAATGTATAGAAGGGTATAAAACGAAGTTTCCCGTCTGTCCCACCCATAGCCACCCTGGTTCTCTAAGCACGGTACATCATTATTTATTTTACATGTGCCATCTTTTGAGGTTGATGTGCATATCCCCCAGCCTCATCAGTTTTTTTTTCACACCAAAAATAGTAAAAAACACATGATTCTGAAACCTGCTTCTTAAAATTAACTTGGAGAGCTTTATAGCTATATTATATTTCATTAAATCATAGGTTTGCATTGCTAGTTTTTATCTCAATTTGAGTATATCCTAGGAAAACATATACCTTGCACACCGTAAGTATCACACCCTGGATAACTCTGAGCTCATGCATACAACTCTCTGGACAACCCAGCAAGTGGGGCCAGCTCTCAGTGCCCAGCCCTCTTGCTCATGTTGAGTGCTATACCATACAGACTCTTTTGGTTCCCAGTGGTCACCTGTGACGTAGGCAGACTGGCCCTGTGCCTGACCAGGGACCCCCAGATGTTTGTTACCTGCTCATTGGCCACTTACTCTGTAGCTTCTGAGTCTGAAACTTCCTAAAGAATTGACCTAAACTTTTTTTTTTTTTAAATCCGTACCAGGTATTGAGCTCAACCACCTGCTTGCAAGGCAGGTGCTTATGCCGCTGAGCTAAATCCCCAGCCCTTTCCTAAAGAATTGAGATAAGGAAGACTTTAGGAGACCTTTTGAGTTGAGCTGTGAATGTTGTGCATTGTGGCAAGAAGCAAGTCCCCGCCAGTAGGATGAACAGCAGGGGATTCTCCAAGGAGGGGCAAGCAGACAGGCTTGCATGATGTAGAGTGAACTCTGAGCTATACCCTTAAACCTGGCGAAGCCTCTTGCTTTTCTTGGCCTCTGAAGAGAGAACCCTGGCTTTTGGCATGTTTGTCTTGTGGGCTTCTAGAGACTGAAAAGAGGATACATGCTGTCACAGTCAGGACTTCTTCTGGATTCTGTGGCAAAACTGAGGCCCGGCGACCCAGAGCAAGGCCATGGCTGAGCTGAGTACCCTAGCAGCTCCTTCAGGCTGTACTGGGGTGTGAGCTGGTGAGCCTTCCTCCCTCGCCTGCAGTGCTCGGTCCAAGAGCTGCAGAGCCGTGCCAGGGACTTCTGACATATGCCTCCCCAAGCACTCTTGTCCGATAGCCAGTGAAGGGCCTACCACTTACCATATTTCTTGGCTTCCTCATTTTAAAAGCCATAAAGTGTCTGTCTGCCTTTTTCTAGCCAGAAGGATAACTGACTGACCTTTCACCTGTCTGTAAGCAGGGCCTTTCTCCTGCTGGCCGCTTCCCTTCCTAATACCTCATGCCTTTGGCTGTCCTTTTTCTCTTCCAGCCCTCTGTCCATTAGAAATATTCTGGCCCAGAAGTTGTACCCATCTTGTGTCATGTTCTTTTCCAAAGTACCCTTCTAGCTGGTGTTTCATCTGCATCCAGTGAACCCGGAGAAACTTGTAGTTTGAGAGGACATTGCTGGGAGGGCACTGAATGGAGAGTTAAGAGCCACGGCTCTGCCGAAGACCTCTGAGAGATCTAGGACTTGTGTCTTCCTCTCAGAGCTCCATTTTCCTGCCCTGGGAATGGTGGGGAGGGGAGGAGGCAGGCAGGACCATGTCTCTAAAGCTGACTCTTCCCATTCTGTAGATAAGCAAATAAAGGATAAGGAAGGTAGTGTGGTGGGATTCATAGAGCAAATAGGGAGATGGGTTGGGTCAATGCTTGGCTCTAAATCCAGGATACCTTCTTACCTGGACTTTTCCTTTCTCATAATTTGGCCCCACTCTCATGGGAGGGTTGATTCCTACATCTCCTAACCAGAATCTGGAGCCCAAGTATGACCCTACCAGGAGGATGAGACCCCGGAGAATTAAAGGCTGTTTTCTCTAGCCAGAGGGAGAAGACCCTGACTGCCTTTCACCAGGAAAACGCCTAGAAGTCAGCTGGGCCGGTTTGGGCACCTGAGGTGGGGAAGTAGTCTAGTTTCCCAGGAGGACAGGTATTGGGCCAAGAGTTAGGCAAAACATCCGAACATGAAAACCTGCCAGCCTCAGCCCTGCTGTGTGGTAACCTGGGCTCAGACATGCCTGTGACTGTGTGGTTTTGTTTTTCTGCAGAAAGTGACAGGCCGCCTCATGCTGTCCGTGGGAGGGGCAGTGCTTGGATCTCTGCAATTTGGCTACAACACTGGTGTCATCAATGCCCCTCAGAAGGTGAGTACCATGCCATTGAGGCCTCCAGACACCAGCTTGTTCTGCTGCACCAACACATGTGTGCACACACATGCACATGCTCACACTGCCATCAGGGTGTCAGAATCACGGGCATCGGCTTAAACGTCAGCCTCCCCAGCCAGCATTGTAGAATTACAGGGCCCATGAAATCCTGGGGTTTTATAGATCATCTTGACCAGCTTCCCACCCAGCACTGATGTTTGTTATAATCAAAAGCAATGTTTAGTTGTATGTTGCTGTACTGCAGTGGCATATCCTCTGTTATGCTGAGGATAGAGCTGGGTTTTTTTTGTTTTTGTTTTTTTTATATTGCTCGGTACCCTCCGTATGACTCCAGGGTAAGCAGCCAGGTCAGCAGCAGCCATTCTTCCCTTTCTACAGGTATGATGATGGCCAGAGAGTGAAATGAAAACCTGCACAGCATCACTTGGCCACTCAGGCAGATCTGGTACCCTTGAGCCTGTGCTCACATGCCCTTCCGCTACAGCACTCTTCCCCGGCTCCTGAGTGAGACACCGATTTCTGGGCTGAAACCACATCCCCTTCCTGGAGGCCCAGTGCCAATCAAAGCAAACATGGCGTCTTGCCCTAGGGAAACACAGGGGTGGAGGTCTGATTTCTTTCTCCCCACAGTGCATCCCAAGCCTGCCCTCACATGTTTCTTGGCATGTCAAGACTGGGAAGGACCCTTGCCATCCCCTCTAGCCCCACCTTTGCTTTAGGGTAGAGAAGGAATGTAGGGGCAGGAAAGGACATTGAAACAGAGTCCCTTTGTACCAGGTGATTTTCATGTCTGTGTTTGTAAAGTTGGGTGGTGGTTTCCACTTTATAGATCCGGAAATTGAGTGTGAGGTATCTGAGGCAAATGACCAAGAGGCCCAAGGTCACACTGTAGTAAATGGCAAGTCAGAAGCCAAGCAAGCTCTTTTGTTTCCACAGCCTCAGGCTGTCTTCCTAAATAATTGCCCTGTCATTTAAAAATGCCTTTCTGGGCAGGAGGAGATGAGAGCAGAATCCTCCTGTCCAGGACCAGGCAGGCTTACTGTTCAGACAGGTGGGACTGGAAAAGGAGTGTGACTGGTCTGGGGACAGGGCCTGTCTGAGAAAGTGGGCAGTGTGGGGACCAGGGCTGGGCTTCTTCCAGTGGGCGGAGGGTGGCTGTGGTGGCCACACCCGGTGCTGGGTAGCAGGTCGCCAGGAACTCTCAGCCTGCTGAGTCACACTCAGTGCTGCAGGAGCACTGACAGAGACTTCTAAGCTTGCCTGACATGGCGACTGTGGGCGCATGCTTACAACAGCCCCTGGCCAGCTTTGCTGAGTGCTCCAAACAGTTCCCACCAAGATGTCTGCCTTGGAGCTGGCTTCCTCTGGGAATCCTTATAGACAGGGTACAGATCAGGAGGAAACTGGGGATTGGAGCCCTCCTCCTTGGTGGCACTTTGAGGTCCTCTGAACTCTCTCCAGATTCTGATTTAATTGGTCTGGATGAGATTTTAAAGCTTCCTGATTCTGTTATGCAGTGAAAGTTGAGAAATACTGGATCAAGTGATGTCTTGAACTGCAGTCACAGAATAAGTCAATGACAGAGTTAGAATCCTAAAGGCAGAATAGAGGAGGTAGGTTTCAAAACTGGGAGGGAGGGTGAAGAGAAGGGGTCTGTAGAGGAGGAAAAATGCCCAGAGAGAAGGCAAACACATTCAGTAAACGGGTGATTAGGATGTCACTAGATGGTAGGAGAGGGAGAGTTGGGGGGCTGAAAGCAAGCCAATGTGGGACCATTGTCGGCATGTGGTTTGATCTGCAGAATTCTCAGCCACTTGTATGGTGTGGCATAGTCAGAAAGGCATGTAGAGGATAGATTTCAAACCCAGGCTGGAAGAGCAACTGAGGGGTCCATCACTGGTATCCAAGAGGGTGTGAAGGAAGGTCTCCTAAGGAGACTGGAATAGGAGATTGAAGGCTCAAATCCCTGAAAACGGCCCCAGAGATAAGGAGGGGACCCTTTGGAGAAGAGCTATACTCTGAGAGAGTTTTGCAAGACAAAGGAGAAAGGCCATGCAGCCTTGTGCCCTGCAAAGGGTGGGTTAGCAGAGTGTAAGAAACCTCCCTGCAGTGACTGAAGAGTGAGAGGGAGATGGAGAGTCAAGGGGGAGCTGATATAGTGGTGTCATCAGCCACGTGGTAGGCTGAGGTGGGAGGATCATTCGAGGCTATGAGTTGGAGACCAGCTAGGCAATATGCCAAAACCCCATCTGAGACAAAAAATACAGAAAAAGGTGCTTGCGTACATGTGTGTGTGCCTACATATGTATGTGTGTATATAGAGAGAGTCCTTAGGAAAGTTGGTTGGCTGAGAAGAGAAAAAACTCATAATGCCTAGAAGGGCTATAATTTCTTCCTGGTACCGGAGGTTGAATCCAAGACCTCACATATGCTAGCCAAGGGCTCTTCCACGGAGCAAGTTCCCCGGTCCTATAGACTTCATTTAACATAGAGAATCACCAGAGGGGGAGAGGGGGAGAATAGGGAGTGAGAATGGGGTCCTGTAAGAGCAGTAGTGTTGGAACAGGAGTCAGGAGGCTGCCTTGGTCAGAAGGGACCCAGATCCTTCTGAAGATGTAAACATTCTAGAAGGAAAGTCTCCAATCCTTGGGGTTCCCTCTAATCAGAAGTAGACGGAAGGTTGGTACTACTGGGGACAGTGCTGACTGGCTGACCAGGGTGGCAGAGTACAGGGAAGTAGTACAGAGGGCCCAGCTGAGGCTGTAAACTACATTTATGGGATCATTTAGGGGACACCTGCCCTAAGGTTGCTTGAGAAACCAGCCTGGAGAACACATAGATCTAGTGGCAAGGCCAGGCATACAGACACTCAATCTGTTTAATTTTGTACTGTAGTACAGATATTTTTCACAAGCCTGGCCTAGTGTTTCCGCCAAGGTATAAAATAACAAGTGACCACCATGGTGGGTGGGCCTTTGAGTCATTGTCCTAGGAAGGTACAGTGATTGCAATTCTGTAGACATAGTCGTTCCACAGGGACTTAGCAAGTGTTCACTGTGTGCAGGAGCCCACCCTAAACAGCCTGGTGGGGAGAGTATAGCTGTAAACCACATGCGGGCACATCCTGGCCTTCAGGGAGCTGCCTCAGAGTGGGTCTGACCTGGTGGCTCTAGGACTCCCCCATCGGGAGGAGTTGGGGAGGCCCTGTGGAAAATCAGGTAGGATTTCCCATGTGTATTCTGTGAGGGATTGGTTTCAAGACACCTTCCCCCACCCCCACAGGTCCTGAAGCCTTCAGGTGCTCAAGTCCCCTATGTCCAATAGCATAGCATTTGTACGTCACCTACTGTGTCTTCCAACATACTTGCAATCATCTCTGGATTATTTAATATAATACATAATACAAAGTGAATACCGTGTCAGCAGTTGCTATTGTTTGGGAACTAATGACAAAGGAAAAAATGGTGGGTCATGTATAGTACAGACATAATTTTTATTTTTCAAACATTTATGCTCCAGGGCTGGGATTTAGCTCAGTGGCATAAGCATCAGGGTGATGGGAAAGACAGGAAAGGCTTTGTGAAGGGTCTTGCAGTCTTGCAGCCAAATTAGACCTTGCAGGGTAAGTTGGGCTCACAAGGAAGGAGGGCCAGATATCCAAGCCAAGGGAACTGCCCGTGCATGCATGTTGCTGTGAACTGTTCCTCCGTGTGGCATTGCTAGCTGCCTGCATTGCACGCACTGACCTCTCTGGTCTGTTCCAAGTGACTTTCAGGAAGTGGTGGTGTCTGGGCCATGGCTTCCAATGGACACTTTGATGAGGCCAGTCTTGCTGCTCATTCCCAGAAGCTTGTTCTCTGCTATAAAATAGGCCCAAAGGGCATCCTTTCCTTGGAAGTGTTAATTAATCAAGATATTATCTTAAATGTTTACAAGGCACTTACCCTTAAACTGCCTCCTCCCAGCAGCTCTGTGAGGTGGGCAAGCTGAGATTATCTTCCCCATTCACTTGTAGATAAGGAAACTGAGGCTGGATGAGGCTGCCTAGCCAGTACAAAGCTGAGCTGGAACTGGACTGCAGATTTCTTGCGTCTTTCACCCTGTGTGTGCCCCACACTGAGTAATAGTGACCTCCGTGGGACATCTCTGCCATGCAGTCCCTCTCTCTAGTGGACAGGGAGGAGGTGGAAGAGGAAAGCCAGGCAGAGGGAGCAGATAGTGTAGGTGTCCTGGATGCTCTTCTGGGCCCATCTGAGGACAGTCTCTTCCTTCCACAGCAGCAAGTCACCGTGCACTTAATCCACAGTGTTGGGCACGTCTGAGGATTAGGCAGCCTCAGAACCCAGAGTGACGGATCAGCAAGAAAGGCCCTTGGTCTGTGGAGGACTGAGGTCTCAGGGTGACCTGCAGTGACATGACCAAACTGGGCTGGAGCAGACCCCTGACCCAGCCTCCAGGCAGCCTCTCTGTCAAGCTCTAAAAGAGTCTTGGGTCCCCTCTTCCTTTAACTAGCACACAAACCCTGAGAGCCTACTGAGTGGCAGAGGTTGTCTTAAGCACTTTAGAATTAGTAATCCAATTGTTCCTCAAAATAGCACCATTAAATGCTCACCATAGTCCCTGTTTCCTAAGAAACTGGCCACAGAGATGGTAAGCCACTAAACCAAGGACACACAGCTAGTGAATGGCAGAACTCAGGAAGTCTGGCTCTAATCTGTGCCCTTGATCTCTACAGAAGATAGTCAGAGATAAGCAGCCTGATACCTTTCACATGCCTCTAAGTGCCACCCAGCTGGTTCCTCACACTCTGAGTTCAAAAGTGAGTCAGGCCCAGTCATGGGCAGACATCTCAACAGTTTCCCACACACAGTTGCACAATGTCTTACACCATCATACCCTATCACAGCCCAATCGTCTCTTAAGCTCCTCGGTTAGATTCGGCTTCTTCAGTTAGTAACGACTCCCTCTCCAGCCCT